TTGCTTTTTACGCCTGTAGTATCTTTCTTATATAAATATAGCAGCAGTCAGTCCTTCACGTACTATTGCATGCAATCTTATGGGAAGCTCAAAAATTTTTTGAAGCCTTGTTTTACTTAAAAATTCAGGTAAATTATGCATTCTATCTGTTTTCGTCATGCACAATTTAGAGATTTCATTTTAGGTAGACTCAAAAGTACAAGTTTCTTTAATAACTTTTCTTCTTTCTCACAGCTCTGGCAGATTCCTTCAGGAATATAAGGGTGGCTGTTTGACTTTTCAAGAATCTTTTTTTCAAAAGGAAAAAGATCCATAGAACCTAGTGCCATGGATCTCCGAAATGCACATCTATGGCAGGCACTATGCTCAGTGTTAGGAGTACCATGACTAAAATGACAGTCTTTAACCTAAGTTTTAAAAAATTTTTCAATATAAAAGGGTTATAACCTGTTGGTAAGTTAAAGAAGCAGATAAACATTCAAGTTTGTACAGTTCGATTACATTTTCCTCTGCTGGCTTGGAAATTATATAAGTACTTTATTCTGTTAATCCTCATAAATGAATTATTATTATTTTATGCAGCCAACATTTATTTAAATGTTGACTTTAAAAGTTGTTTAAATAAAATTTGTTTAAATATTGATAAATATAACATATATTGCCATAATAATTCCTTCTGACATTGAGAGTCTGTATAGAGTATTGATTAAGAGAATGGACTCTGGAGTTAGGCTACTTGCACTTGAAGTCAGTGCTTTCTGTGTCCAAAATAGAAATGCAAAATAGAAACAATAGGACTGTTCTTCAAAGAACATCTTTTAGAAGTTCCTTTAATAAGAATCTGCTGGTAATAAACAGTTTTTGTTTGTATGGAATTGTCTTCTATTTCACTCTCATTCTTGAAAGATGATTTTCAGAGCATATTTTCTAGATTAACGATTATATATTTCTCCACTTTAAATGTATTGTTCCTGTCTTCTGGCTTTCATTCTTGCATTTGAGAAGCCAGGATCAGTCTAATTGTCTTTCCTTTGTATGTAATCTGTCACTTGTATCGGGATGCTCCCTTTTTTAATAGAAATAAAATTTACAGAGTGTAATGCACAGGTATTAAGTGTGCAGTTCAGTGAGTTGATAAATATATGCACCAGTGGAACTACTGCTACTATCAAGCTATAGGCCATTTCTGCCACGTTGGAAGTTACCTCATAGCCATTTCCAAGCAATTCTACCAACCTCATCCCATTGTAGACAACAAAATGTTATAATTTCTATAACATTAGTTTAGTTTTATTTGTTCTTGAACTTCATATAAATGGATCTATACAAAATGGACTCTTGTTTATGGCTTCTTTCACTAAACATAATATCTATGAAATTCACCTATGTTGTCGTGTTTATGAGAAATTAATTCTTTTTTATTGTTGAGCACTATTTTCATTGTACGAATATACCGTGAATAGACATTTGGGTTATTTGAGATTATGATGAATAAAACTGCTTTAAATATCCTCGTACAAGTCCTTTTATGGATATATGTTTTTATTTCTCTTTGGAAAATCCCAGGAGTGAAATTGCTAGATAATATGGTAGATGTATGTTTAACACATCATTGTACATTCCATCAGCAATGTTTGAGAGTCCCATTTGCTCCACATCATCACTAACATTTAGTCTTTTTAACTTTTTAACATCAATCTTTTTAACTTTAGCCTTGGTAGGTATGTAGTGGCATCTAGTGGTTTTAATTTGATGTTAAGTACCTTTTCATGTGCTATTTGGCCATTAATATATCTTCCATGGTGGGATATCTTTGCCTATTTAAAAAATTGGTTTGCCACTTTGTTGTATATTTACGGAGTTTTTTTAGATACAAATCTTTTGTTTGATATATGTATTACATATATTTTCTTCTAGTTTGTGGCTTGAATTTTCATTTTCTTAGTGTATTTTATTGAGCAGAGGTTTTTAGTTTTAATGAAATCTAATTTATCAATTTTTTTCCCTTTACACTTAGTACCTTTTATACCCTAAGACATCTTTGCTTTTCCCAAGGTTGCAAAGATACTCTCCTATATTTTCTTCTAGAAGTTTTATCATATTTTGCATTTATGTTTATACATACACCCCTTTTTCATTTATTCTGCAAGTGTTTATTTTGGGCCAGGCACTGTCATCAGCATTAGAGATATATACAGCAATGAAGACAGATGTGTGTGTGTGTGTGTGTGGTGATGATGATGATGTTAGGATCAAGATTCATATTATTATCCAGATATTTATCCAGGTGTTCCAGAACCACTTGCTGAAAAGACTTTTTATTCTCCATTGCATTGTCTTGATATCTTTCAGGAAAATTGACTGCATATGTATAGGTCTTTTGGACTCGAAGGTGTGGAAAACAAAATTCTCTGTGTTTGGTGTGCTGCTAGCTGCTGTTTCATTGTTTACCTGTGGATTTTTCACTTATCTTGCTTGGGATTCATTGGGCTGCCTATTTCTGAGGCGTGGTGTCTTTACCCAGTTTTGGAAATTCTCATTTTATCTTGTGTAATATTATATTTTCTCTATTTTTTTATCTTCTACTTCTGAAACTTAGATTCTATGGATATTAGACCTTTTACCTTTTAGTTCTATCTTAAATGTCTGTTAACTGCTCATATTTTCTAATTCTGAAGTAAGTCATTTCTTGACTTTTGTTTTCCATTTCACAAATTCTTTATCTGTGTCCTTTGTTCTGTTTAGCCTATTGACTATTTTTTTGTTTTTTGTTTTCTACATATCCCTTTGGCTCTCTTAAAAATCTATTTCTTAATTGTTGTTCATACTTTTGATACTCTTATTTCTTATATGTAAATAGATGAAATGTTTTGTATTTTTATTGTTGTAATATCTGCAGTCTGTGGGTGTGATTCAGTTACATCTGCTTTTCATGGTGGCCTCTTCCTCCCTCCCTTTTTAAAATCAGTTTTTTATTGTGTGCTCATTGGAACTAATCTGTGTGAATTATTTCTGGTTTAGATTTAGAGAGAGAATGCATTTGCTTTGCCCAGGAACCCATGGACACTGTCTACCCAGGACCACTTGACATTAAATTTTCACTTGGCCTCATAAAGATAATGGAATTATAATGCCAAACTTGAGTGAAGGCCGGGTTGTGGTTAGGAAGACCCTACCCCACCATTACTACCACATTCTACTCTGAGCCAAAGCTAAGAAAGGCAAGAGTACTCATTTCTTATGGGTATGAGGTGAGGTGGGTTTGTTTTTGTTATTTTTTTGGTCCCCTCCCTAGTTTCTTTCACTGAAGGTGTTGCCTTTGGGGTCCCAGCTTTTTGGCCTTGAGCTGGTTTCCCACTTTGAGCAGGTCCTAGGTTTTGTCTTTTGTTTCACATGTACAGTGCCATTTAACATATGGCCATGGTGAGGATGTGGAACAACTAGAATTTTCATACACTGGCGATGAGAGTGTAGATTGGTTAGAGGAAACTTGGCAATGTCTAGTAAAGCCAAATACAGATTTACCCTACGATCTAGCAATTTGTTGTTATTTACATATCCAAGAGAAATGAATGCATATACCCATCAAAGATCATATAAAAGCATTTCATAGCACTTTTATTCATAATTGCCAAAACCTGGAAACTTTCCATCTCCACCAACAGGAGAATGAGTAAATTGTGGAATATTCATACAATAGAATACTATACAGCAATAAAAAGGAACACACTACTGACATACACAACAACATGGATGAATCCCATAGATATTAGATTGAATGAAAGAAGCCAGATATAAAATAGTACTGCTGTAGATTCCACTTATATGAAGTTCAAAAACTTCTATCTAGTGATAGAAGTAACTTGCTTGTTAGTTCAGCTGTGCATTTAAAATAATTTTTTAAAACATATTTTAACTGTCATTACATAGGCAGTTTCTCAAGGTTTGTAGTCTACTTCTACATTGCTGAGACCAATTTTCAAGATTAAAAATAAAATTTTTCTTTTTTTAAAAAATCCTACTGTCATTGCAGGAGTCTTCTGCTTTTCCATTACAAATGTAAAACTTTTCTACCTTGTGTGTTAAAAATACTTTTCTGATTTGGGGAATCCGCATAAAGGGAATTTCTTGTATGATTTTTGCAACTTTTCTGTAATCTTAAAATTTCAAAATAAAAGAAATTAAAAAAAAACTTTTAGTTTTAACTTTAGAAACCTAATTACTATTTTATGATTCTGGGTTTTAAGCAACCAAGTTAGAAACTTGGAATGCAATCATTTACAAATTAGACTACATTTGATCCTTCTTATTCACTGTTAACTGTTCCTTTTTTTCCCTAACTTTTAAAATATTTTGCCTTCTCCAATTTGCAGTTTGCATTATTTTCTAATTTCTTTATCTTGGTCTGCATTCCAAAGATGAATGAAATCTATGCTATTCTTGAAACGTATGTGTAAAGGGAATTGAGCTAGACATGATCTTAAGTCCAAGTAAGAGATTGGAAAGGCTGTTTGATAAGCATCTGGCAGTTTAGATCAGGTATGGCAAATGCCTGTCACATAACCATTCTTTCATCGATGCAGATAATGCTCATTGTTCACAGTACTCTTTCTTCCATAGTCTTTCTCCACACATTGTTTTAGCTATCTACTGCCAGTTGATTTGAGTTGGCTTGAATGACAAAAAGACTTAACATCTCTGATTTCGAAGATTGGGGGAGAAACTTCTGGAATATATATTTTTATAATTAATGAACTATTCCATTCATTGTATGAAGTAACATAATCATAATTTTGGAAGCCCGATTATTTAAAGAACACCTTAATTGTTTATCTTTTAAATTTTCAGTGTTTGTGAAGGCAATTGAATTTGCTATTTTTATAGAATGTTCTTTTAAAGTATGTGTTTTTAAAACACTTGAATGTCACATCTTTAACCTTTAATTGGATGACATTATTCATAATGTTACTTTTATTCTGTGTTTTCCTTTTATTTTTAAGGAGTGGACCTACCCTATGAGACGAGAAATGCAGGTATGACAGCCTTTTTGTTTACTCATGCAAACCCAAATTATTATTATTATTATTATTATTATTATAATTAAATAATGTAACTTCATAAAGGATTTGAATCCTTTGTGACTCATCATCTATTGACTCCCAATCTGTAGATTCATCATTAAGTATTTTAAATGTTAACATATTTAAGGTTAATTGTAGATCTTAAAAAGATGGGAAATGAATTATTGCCTTTCTTCCTTATATTAGAACCATGGACATAGTAATATATGTATGTCTTTAATGAGTCACTTGTTTTTTCCACATCTGAAAAATTGGATACAATACTTCTATTCCTTTTAAAAGCAGTTTGCTCTGGTTTGTCTAGTTTAGGTAAGCTCAGGAGAGTTGACTGTACATAGAAAGCTCAGTCTGCAGTATCGTACCCTAGATACTGATGTAGTGGTTCATTTTTCTTTAGCATTTCTCACCATTTGCAGTTAGCTTTGCTAGCCCTGTGATCAAGCACTGTCTTTTCCTAGGAATCCCTTGACTTCTAAAACTCTTTCCTTTTTCTCAGTGAAAATTCACTTTTTAAAAATATGTGAGTACCTGTGAGGCATTTTACTTGATGCTATGGAGAATACAAAGATAAGTAAAATGTAATTTCTGTCCAGAAGAAGCTGGTAGGAGAAGTCAGACCTATACACAAATAATTTTGATAGCCTATGGAACTAAACTACAGATTATACTATATTAGTACCTAGGGTATGATATAGCCCGACTGAAAGCTTTCTATATTGAATTCACATAGAATAAATTTTAATTCAACATATAGAAGTTACTTATTTAAATTGTTGAAACTGTTAATAAGCAAACATTTGATATTAGTCTTTTTTAACGTTGCCGTACTACTTTATTTCTATTGTTAACTGTAGATAACAGTTCTAATCTTGTATCTTGTGCTGCTTTTGACTTGGCTGCATAAGGTTTTGTGAAATTCCAAAGGGAAGATTTTCTTTGTCTAGAAGTAAAATTAGAGACATTTTATTAATCTAAAAGACAATACTAAAATGTACTAATTCTATCTAAACTGTCTATAAAAGTATAATTGTCAATAAAACGGGAGAAAAAGCACTGTGGAAGTTCAAATATCTGGAATAGCTGACTTTTTGGAACTGTATTTAAACTTTGTCTCATTTGATATAAAAAGTACATTGGCATTTCTCTTCCCAATTGTTTGCTCAATGTGGCTAAGAAATGCTCCCTAAAATAATAAGTGTTTCAGCAATTATTATAACAACTATGAAAACACCCTGACAAATCTACTTTTACAGTATATATTTTACATAGATTTAAATTGCTGATGATAAATATCTCAATTTTTTTTTTTCTAGGAAATTTTACCTGGATTGTTTTTAGGCCCATATTCTTCTGCTATGAAAAGCAAGGTATGAACTTTAGGTTCTTCAAGAGACTATTATTTATTAACCAACTTTGGAGTAAAATTTATTTTTTTTAGTAGTAAGAGTTTTATTTGAAGAAAAGTCTACAGATACTGTATGTTAACAGTAATTTTCACTCTGGAATACCTACCTCTTTCCAAATTTTACTGGACCAATTTTACTGGATTCTCAAGTGTTTCACCACAAATCACAAATGAGCTTTATATTTTATTTTTTTCATGAAATCATGTGTTTGGAAGATTTACCAAATAATGGACTTTTATTAAATCATTTATTTTACCCTCTAAAATATTAGACATCTGTAATTGCTAATCATAACTTCTGAACAATATGAGATACAGTTAAAGCCCCAAATAAGGATATTTAACATTTAGTTAACCTTTCCTTATCTAGGGTGAGAGAGAGGGAGTGTATGTGTGTGTGTGTGCATGTACCTCTGTATGTACCTGTGTGTGTACCTGTACGCACACTGATCTTGATTCAAATAACTCAAATTTTTTTTTTTTCCCCAGACTTTAGGGGTCTGGATGCTCCAGGTTATAAAGTATTGCACTATGTATAGGTATTCTAAATGGTCAAACTGAAATTGATCTCTTCAGTTATACAGTTAAGGCAGGAGATTTCATTTTAATATATGCAGCATTGTTGTTGCTACTTCCTAGTGGATCCAGCCTTATGAATTAAGACAAATACTGCCAATTTTTTTTGAATTAGAATGTGAAACATTGTATTACAAATGTTATCCCCAAAACTCTCCCTATTTAGAAGTCAGTATTCTCATGTATATCTACTTACAATAGGTTTTGTAAAAACTGTAGAATTTTAAACGTTCATGATATGTTGACGTATTTGTCAATTTTAGGCTTGGGAATTCTTAAAGTTAGAGCCATTCCTTTTGAAACTGGAAGGCTTTTTGACAGTTAAGGCATGAAAGTAACCCTAGTCATTTTGATGGCCTACAACTAGGTTGGAAAGGTGGGGCAATTTGTTTTAAAAAAGTACTAAGGAAAGGATAGGGTAGATAACTATAGACTTAAATGTGACTTACTTTGTAAAAGACAAACATAAAACTTTTACCTAAATAATGTAGTATTCACAAAATACTGGCCTTTAAGGTGGTTTTAGATTATTTGCTTTTTGTATTCCTATTGTACTTTATAAGATATACATATACCATCTGTCATGTTAAATTATACATAGTTTGTTTATAATATACATATACCATCTGTCATGTTAAATTATACATTGTTTATTGGTCTGTCTCTTCAAAACCTTTTCTCTCTCAATGTTACCATGGTCTTATTAGACTAAGGAAAAATTTGTATGGCAAAATATGATTATTTCCCACCCTGACTTACCCATATTTCTTTTTATACCATCATTCCAAAAATATGTAACAACAGCAAAACAAAAAATTATAATGGAGATAAAGAAACATTAAGGAATAAACTCCTTTTCTTAGACTCGTTATTTAAGCCTATCTTTTATTACATTCAAATACAGTTTTAATAGAAATGACAGATTAAGGCTCTTTGTGAACTATTTCTTTTGTAAAACTATTTCTTTTGTAAAACTTCTGTTTGTAGGTATGATAAGGTCATAATTTGCTTTATATAATTGAAAATCTATTGAGCAGTAAAAAATATTCTCTGCTATTGCATTTGGTTCTATTTCGATAAGGTGTTCTTACTTAGTAATAGTCTAATATGCCCTCAAAGCTTGTTTTTACCAATTATAAATGTTATAGTTTCTCACAATAATAGATATGAAGGCTTTCATATGTCATAGATCAAGTGTAAACAAAAGAATGAATTCATTGTGGAAGTTGGATAAATATGAATATGGAACATTACCAAATGCTTAATTATCTCCCTTCCCCTAACTCAGGGTATACTCAGGAAATATTACAGCTCAGGCTGCTATAATAAATACATAGACTGGATGGCTTCAACAAGAGGCATTTATTTCTCACCGTTCTGGAGGCTGGGAATTCTGAGATCAGGGTGCCAACAAGTTTAGGTTTTGGTGAGTGCCCTCTTCCTGGCTCGCCAGAGGGCGCCTTCTTGTTGTATCTTCACACTGCAGAGAGAGGAAGCTGATGTCTCTTCCTCTTCTCATAAGAGCACTAATTCCATCATGGGGCTCCACCTTCATGACCTCATCTAAGCCAGTTGCCTTGAGAGGTATCTCTCAAATTACCTCCCAAAGACCCACCTCCTAATACCATCACCTTGGAGTTTAGGGCTTCAACAAATGAATTTTAGGGGGACACAAACATTCAGTCCATAACAAACATAAATTATCCTTTGACTTCTCTCATGAATTATTAGTATTACTGTTCTGGTCTATTTAATGCAGAAAGTAGAAATTAAATATATAGAAAACTCAAGGTTATTTTGTTTGTTCATTTATTGATAGGTAATTATTGAACAACTATGTTTCAGGCATTGAAACATACTTAATATGAATCAGTGAATGAAGTCTTTGTTCCCGTGGAATTTACATTATAGCTATTAAAATAACATGTCATCTATAGATTCATTGAACCTCGAATCACTTGCAAATAAAACTGGTAGTTTTTAGAATTGTCATGTTAAATTACTCTATAATTCGAGTCAAAAAAAGCACCACAGAATACAAGAAGATATCATTTGGCTTTGCCTTTTTTTCCTTTTAGTGGAATTTTTAAACCGTGAAAGGTTTAAGTAAATTCTGTGCACTGGATAAATTAATTCTGGCTTATAGTAGAAAAAGTATACTGGGAGAGGCCAGGGGTAATCTAAAGATTTGGGTTTGGTACTGCTATTAATTAGGCAGTGAAGCCGAACAACTGTTTGTCTTAGTAATCCCCTCTAAAGAAAAAAGATTGTAGTTAGTATATGTAAATACTATTTACTAAACACTTTGACATGTGCTGCAGTCACTATGCCAAACACCTTACATATTTTATATAATTCTTAAAACCACTCAGTGAATTATAGTATTTTCTCCATTTTCACATGAGAAAACTGAACCATGGAGCTCAGGTCATTAGCAGAGCTGCGATATAAAGCTTGGACTCTGATGACTCCAAAGCGCATGCCTTTAACCACTATTTAGTATTGTTTTCCAAATAAATTATCTTTAAAGTCCTACTAAACTCTAAAATTATAGATGTAAAATAATACTGTTAACCTTCTGAGGACATTTAATGTATTAATCTTGAATTATTGAAATACATTGCTGATCACTTCAGGTATATTAATTTTAAATTAGCTTTAATACCCTGTACTTAAAGCTCAGATGTGGCTATATAAATTCTAATGTTGAATCATGTTACAGTAAGATGATGTTTTATATTTTTAAACTATTTCTCTCCCCTGCCTCCCCCTTTTTTTTATAGCTACCTATACTACAGAAACATGGAATAACCCATATAATATGCATAAGACAAAATATTGAAGCAAACTTTATTAAACCAAACTTTCAGCAATTATTTAGGTAAGAATTATTGTTATGATTTATTAAAATGTTAAGTGTAGCAAACATGTAATGCTTTTGTTTCAAGTTGATTTTATTGTATCAGACTTTCTTCTGTGCATACCATTTTATAGATAGGTTGTACAGTACATCATTTAAAAATAAGTTTCCTTTAAAATGTTTAAAAAATAATTCATGCAGAAAATAATGCAGAATTCTAAAGGTTCAAAAGAAGTGTACTGAAAAGTAGGTTTCCCTATTCCTATCCCCTAACTACTCAATTCTCCTCCTAAAGGCATCCATTGTTACTTTTTGAGTAGCCTTCCAGTGTTATGTTACATATATAAGCATATTCCTACAGATAATCTTGATTTTTACACTGGCTTTTTAAAAATTGTATATATTTTGGAGATTCCTTCATATCATTACTTAGAGAGCTGTGTTATTCTTTTTAAGTTGCATAGTAATCCATTGTATAGACTACACAAGTTTATTGAACCTGTCTCCTATTGTTGGGCATTTAGATTATTTCCAGACTTGCTAATATAGCACATAGTGAGTATCTCTGTACATGTCAATTAATTCATATGTGACTATATTAATAGGATAAATTTGTAGAAGTGGAATTGCTGGATCAAAGAATATGAGCATTTAAAATTTTAGTAGATGTTACAAATTGTCCTACAGTGAGTTGTATCAGTTTACTTTTACATTATGAAGTATATAAAAATGACTTTTTTTTTTAGTATATCCCCAAGACAGATTATAAAACATTTAAAATTTTTCCAAATCTGAAATAAAAATGGTATTCATGTAATTTTGATTTGCCTTTCTCATTTATCTTACAATGAGTGCTCGTGAACATCTAATGGTTTTTAATGTTCTTTATTTTAACAATAAAGAGTATAATACACATGGTATAAGAAGGTATATAATGAAAGTAAGTCTCTTTCCTCTTTTAAACTCAGACACCAAGCTGCTCTTCTAGGAGGCATCTACTATTAAAACTCTTCCTTGAATATCATTCTAGAGATATTCTGTATCTCTATAAAAGCATATATGTTAAAAATATTTTAGTGCTCTGCTTTATAGTTTGTAAAAATGAAAGTAACCTGAATGTCCATCAGTACAAGACACTATAAAATATATTGTTTGAACATACAAGAAAATACTGTAACCATGAAAAAGAATGAAATATTTCTATGTGTTGATATGGAATTATCTCTAAGATTTACTAAAAGAAAAATCAAGGTGCAGAACCATGTGTACACTCTACGTGTAAAAATATATACAATACATTACGCATATATATTGTAGAGGCATAGAAAATTTCTGTACTAGAAACTTGACAGTGAATGCTTCTGAGAAGGGAAATTCAGGATCTGGGATGGTAGAGGGACCTATTTTTTGTTGCACATATTTTTATACTTTTAGAACTTTTGACTGTGTATATACATTTCCCAGTTAATAAAAACTAGTTTTAAAAAAGGAATGTCTATATTCTAAAATAAAATAGATTGAATTTTTCTAAGTGTTAAAGAAATACTTGTTCTTTATAGATACTTTGGAAAATCTACAGTGATACCAAGAAAAATAAAAGTCATTCAATTCCACAGTCCAGAAGATAAACTTTAGTTAACATTTTGGTATATTTCCTTCTGAATATTTCTCTATCGTATATGTGCTTTATATATACACACATATAGACTTGTGTATATTAAAGAAAATGAATATGTTCTATTTTAAAATGCCATACCATACGTTTCTAATTTGTATAGAATTTTTGTTTTTTGTACTTGGTACAGGTTCTTTACCCTTTCTCCTTAGATTTAGAGTACTGGATTATAGATTGATAGTTCTGCTAGTAATTTTTGACATTCAAAATTGCATGTAGTAAAATATTTTAGTTTGACTCTGAATTAACTTTTCCCCCTGAAGCAATGTTTTATACAAGTTAGGTCTACCTAACCACTTTAGGATACAGTCAGAGTCCTTATGGTTTTTACATTGAATCATCCTTAGATCCTGAACTTCAACTTTTTCTCTGATAAGCCCCAGATTTATTGATGTTGTTACCAACTAAATGATCATTAAAGAATTATGATTTTTAAAGCAGTATTGACCTTAAAAGTCAATTTTATAATTTAATTACCTATAATTGTGTTAATAAACAGGTAATCTTGGATAGGTTAGAAATGGAAGTTTTTCGCAAAATAAAAAAAGCTTATTAGCACATTAAAATGCCTTATTTTAAATGTTTTCCAACATGTCAGATTCCAGAACAGATGTGTCTTGGCTGTTTCTTGCACTAATGAAGTTTAGTTCAAACGGGAGGTTTGACTCGTGGCTCCATCAGACTGCCTTTTATTTTGATTAGCTCCTTTTCTTTCAGACTTTGGGCTTCTTCTGAATTGTTCTCTGCAGAGTTGTAAGTAGGGGTCACAGGGCCACTCAGAATTTTCTAGTCCTAGGGAAGTTCGTAGAAGAAATAAATAAGGAACACAGACACTTTTTGTCTTTATTTTCTAGGTCCACTCGGATCTGGAGGAAGGTTTCTTCCTACTTGTGGTTTTTTTCTTATAACCAGATAGTTTTTTTTTAATAGTAAAATATCAGAAAAATGTTAACATGTTGTTTAAGGCCCAGTTCTTGGGAATATGATTCTTTGAAAGTTGTTTTGCATTCTTTTTCATGGTTGCCAAGAAATTTTAAGTGTTATTATTTTTTTTATACATAGAGTTTCATCTGAATGTGTACTTATCAAAATATTCTATTTTCAGATATTTAGTCTTGGATATTGCAGATAATCCAGTTGAAAATATAATACGTTTTTTTCCCATGGTAGGTATCAATATTTTAATATCATTTAAAATTTATTTATGGTTTGACCTCTTAATTGTGGTTCTAAAACTTTTACTCTGTTATAACTGAAAATTGTGGAGTTATATATTTTTTAAATTATTTTTAAAACCTTTTTATGATCTCTACAAATTTGAGAAATCACACTTTGAATTTATTAAATTCAAATTAAATTTTAGCCCCTGCGTAATTTTTTAACCTCTTAATAGTGGTGTTGGTAGCATTTTGAAAAATTCTTGAATTAATGTAATTTTAGTATATGTGCTGCCAAAGCAAGCATGAATTAATATAATTTTTATTCATATAAATTACCAGGAAATTATTTTCAACATATTTTGTATCACTATATGTATTTTATGTTTATCCACATGTTTTGTAATACATTGTCTTTGCCCTCAGACTAAAGAATTTATTGATGGGAGTTTACAAACTGGAGGTAAATAATATTTCCTTTACTTAGCTAATGTTTATTTTTAGGAGATTATTTGTTCAGTTTTTAGTTAGTAGTCATCCTAAATGCAGGTTATGGAAGTTACGATTATATATAATGGACCATTCCCAAATTTGTGTTTTCCTGACTTATTGTTTCATTTGGATAGCTTTCTTAAATATCCCTATGGGACTATTTTTAAAGTCTAGGTCACCTTTAAATCTCTTTAATCTAAAAGTCTGTTGTATTCTTTACACAGTATAAATACATTGTAAAGATTTGCATATTAATATATATCCAAGTGATATGTATAAAGTATAAAATGTTTAAGAAAAGATTTTACTATGGTATGATACATGGTTTCAGTATATTTAAGCTGTTGAATGAGGTATTATTCTATAAGAATAACTATTTATTGTGTTTTTCAGGGAAAGTTCTTGTCCATGGAAATGCAGGGATCTCCAGGAGGTATGAAGTTAGAGATAATCTTTTTTTCTCTAGCATTTAATTAATGAGTTGTGTTTTCTGTTTTTTTTCTAAAATTTTTTCCCCCTCTTCAGTGCTGCCTTTGTTATTGCATACATTATGGAAACATTTGGAATGAAGTACAGGTAAGAAAGTATTCTGAAACCTAGCTACAATTTAAATTCTTATTAAAATGAAGCTTAATGGAGATGATTTGGCAGTTTGAAATTAATATTCTCTTGATTTTGTCATCTAGTCATGTTTGAGTAGGCAGGACCATAATACCCCATGCTAGTTTCTTAACCTTTGTAGCCTGTCTACCTTATCTACTTAGGCTAATATTTTATTGTTTTATGGAGCTAGTGCTGTTGTTATTTTAAGAAGCAAAGGTAGTTATAGTTAGAATAACTCATGAGAAGCTACTTAGTACTAGGGAATTAGTCTGAGTTTAAAAACTTGAAGACAGAGATGCTGCTTTCCTTGTTTAAAAAGCTAATTTATTATGTTTTCCTTTAATAGTAATTGAATGAAAAATTACCTAGGAATTGTTTTAGTTTCTATTCACAATTTAGTGTAGTCTTTCTTAGCCAAAATCATCTTTTCCAAGCATACCGCGTAGATAAAAACGAGGGTGGGTCACGAGCTTCTCGCCCCAGAACGAAACAAAAACTTGGCCTAGTATACAGTGTTTCCTTTCTTAGTGTCTCTTGTTGTAGAAATCTTGTGATCATCAACACCTCCTTCTCTTTCATTCCTTATCTCCTAAACTGATCCATTACCAAACCCTGTCTGTTTGATGTCTTAAAGTATATATTTGGTCTGTCTCTATCTTTCTGTTCATCAGTTAATCCCCCTAATCCAAGCTCCACTTGTGTTTCCCTTGGACTTTTTTTTTTGTCTTCATAGTGGTCTACTCTATTCTTTCCTTCCCTAGTCTGTTCTGTTCTCTACATTACAGTCAGAATGATTTTTCAAAAACCTGATCTGATAGTATAATCATTTTACCCCAAAAACCTCTCAGAAGTTTCCAATCCTTAATAATTCTTAACATGATCATTGAAACTTTGCATTACATGCACCCTATCAACCTTTCCATCCTTATACCATGTTCCCTATTACTCTCCATTTGAGCTTTGTTAATTGGATCCACATGCCTGACGGAGTAGACATTTAAATGCTGTTTAGTTTTTTTGGTATCGTTTGTGTTTAAATTATAATGGAAAAGTTTCCTTAAAAGTATCAGTTCTTAAAGGAATGTTATTTGAATACAAATGCTTTATTTAATTGGAAAAGATTAACAAACTTTGGGAGACTTTGTTTTATATATTCTCTTTATTATTCGGCCTCTTATCAGTAACCATGTTAATACTGAAAGTAACATCCATTTATTGAGTCTCTGCTATGTTCCAGGTACTATTCGAGGCAGTTTTATCTCATGTAAGCCTCACAACAACACAAAGAAGTAAATATATTTCTTGTTTAACCAATAATATTTTGAACATGTACTTTGGGGCAGTGCTATACAAAGTGCTTTACACTTACTATCTCCCATCTTTACAATAGCCCTCCAGGATAGGTTATTATTATAATCTCATTTTTAGATGAGAAAAATAAATCTTAGAAAAGTCAAGCAAATTCTCCTAGGACACAGAGCTGGTGAGCAGAGGGATTGTGATTGTAAGTCTGACCATGCTGTCAGTTTTTCCACTGTAACTCACTACCGCTCTGGAGTATAACCTGTATAATTGATTTCCTATTTTGGGTAATTTCTGGAAAAATTGAGATTAATTCATGAAATAATAACATTACCTTAATTTTTTCTGTTTTCAGAGATGCATTTGCTTATGTTCAAGAAAGAAGATTTTGTATTAATCCTAATGCTGGATTTGTCCATCAACTTCAAGTAACTTCTCTGTTCTTCCTCTTTAAAGCAGTCAGAAAGTAGGATAATTAAAATCTTAGGTCCATGTAATTTTAGGTGTACAGTTTACTTTGTAAATACTTAAAAATTGCCATCATCTAATTTGATTCTTTATTCAAGTTTACATTTCTATTTAAAAGAATTTAAAAGCTGCCTTTACCAAGAAAAAAGGATTAAAGACACCTTCTTTAATCTAAGGTTAACTAATTGATGTTAGGAGTTTCTTCATTTTTTTTTTTTCCCCACTTTGCTCACACACAGAGCATAAGACAGTTTTGATTCTAAGTGTACTACATAGACTAGCTTTCTCTATTTTATATGTTTTGTCTTTTCCATGTTGCTTCAGATTTTGTTGGTGCTGGGAATATGTACTAAAATACAAGATAAACCTATTAATTATCTGATTAGACTAGTTTAATTTTTTCCAAGAAGGAAAATCATAGGTTGAAGAATGTGCTCTGGCCGATTCTATCCAGTTATGTAGGAATAAAGCTCACATTGAGACATCAAGTGCATTACAATATGGGTTGTCTCTAACCATATTTTAAATTTTATCTCATTTTTGTTTTCAATTTACTTTTAATTTTCATTTAAAAGAGAACCTGGTATCCCTGTCTTTACCTTGTTTGTGTAAAATGTTTCTTTTTATTCCTTCTTTATAGTTATTGAATACAAAACTAACTGTAATTTATAAGTTTCTTTGTCTTTCAACCCTGTTCTGTAAAAACAGTCTCTTTTTAAACTGATTTTTGTATTGGAAAAAGTAACATACTCATGGTTAAAAAATTTAAAATTCAGCAATGCCTAAGGGGGATACAATGAAAAATATGTCTCCTTAATATTATATCTCGAAGATCAGTCTAATGATTTTTAATGATCGTAATAAAGATCATTCATATATAGCTCTATCTGCAAAGTATTTTTATATGTATGTATATCATAGTTTTATATTATCAGTTCCTTATATGTGGACCTTTAGATTGTTTCTAGCCTTTCCTGATTATAAACAATATTGGACAGAATAGTAAGTGCATCTCTGTTTACACATATAAATATACCTGTAAAATAATCGATCAAAGTTGAATTGCTAGGTCAGAGGGTATTTGAAATTTGATGTCAAATTGACTATAAAAAGGCTGAAATAATGTAAACTTACACCACCAGGAAACAAGGAGTACCTGTTTACCCATACCCTAATCAATACCAATAGCCACAAGAATTTTAAACATTTTGGTCATTTGTCATCATGGTGATAAAAAGGACAGCTCCTTACGGTTTGCCCATAAGGTGGTTGGTTTTTTTTCTCATAGGTTTGTAAAGGGCTTTTTGTATATTAAGGGTATGGCTCAAGATTCCCTCAATGTTTTTTCTAGAATTTTTCTTACAAATTCTTACATTTTTTTTGTGTGTTAATTTTACTAGAAGGAGTCCTATACTTTTTAATAGTATCATCGTTACAGTCACCGTTCAGAAAGAAATGGCACTTTTAAATTTTTAGTCTTTCACTCTAAGAATATGTTTCGTTTATTCAAATCAACTTTTATATCCTTTAGTATTTTAAAGTTTCCTCTGCACATAATATGTGCATTTCTTATGAAATTTATTCCTAGATATTTTTTGTTCCCATTATAAATTGTTTCTTCTTCTAGTACATTTTCTAATTGGTTATTTGTACATAGGAAAGTTACTGGTTTTTATTAAGTTTTCACTTGGCAACCTTATTAAACTCATTGATTCTAAATAATTTTCTAGTTGTCTTAGCTTTTCATCTCATCTTCAAATCATGGTAATTTTGCCACTTGTTTCTTTTTTCTTGTTGCTTTCTCATTGAATTTTCATTTTATCAGAACAATGATAAGTGATAGTGGTAATAGTATCATTCTTACCTTATTATCGTGCCCCAGTGGCAGAGAACACATACTTGCTAACAGTTCAGTGTGTGATACCCTAGTGCAAGTTATTGGCCTGCCTTGATTTATTGTCTCATCAGTAAATGTGAAATTATGAGGTAAGAATTTTAAGCCTGCATTTCTTGTAAAATAATATGGCACCAGATTTTTCAGTATAAACAATACCAATAATGTACGCATTAACTGCTGTTTTGGGTATCCAGGAATTTAAAAGTATATTAATGTTAATGTAAATCTTTTTTAGGAATATGAAGCCATCTACCTAGCAAAATTAACAATACAGATGATGTCACCACTCCAGATAGAAAGGTCATTATCTGTTCATTCTGGTACCACAGGTAAGAATTTTTCATTTAGGGGAGAAAAATAATGCTATGAAAGGTAGAAAAGCAGCAACATCTTTTGCTCAATGTGGGTTAAAGTGAACAATTTAAATTGTTTAGAAAATTTTGAGTAGACTATTGAATTAAGACAAGATAATTTCAGAATTTAATTTTATAATGAATAAACGTGTATTATCTGCTCTGTGCACACCACTACTTAGTTAATCAGAATATGCTGAGTGGAAAATCACATTTCTGCTTGGTTTAGTTTTAAGTCTTTAAGTAGTACTTAGCTGTTACTACTTATATTAAAATAATAAGAGAAGTCTGGAGAAGGGGCACTAAGTACACTTAGGTGATCTTACTAAAAATAAGTGGTGGTTAATAAATGAAAGTATGTTTCAAGTTAAATAGACTGATTGATGTCATCTACCTCAGTTTTTCTCTTGCCATCAATAATTTCAATCCTTTATCCCTTCCTTCCCTCCAAAGTCCCCTTCATTTTCAAAGTTTATGATTCAAGCAAGCTCTTAAAATCTTTTAACTTTTACCTTTCTTCTCCAAGACCTTTTTACTTTTTACTCGTTTGCTCTTTGTACTCTACTAGAGCACTTATGGAATTTACTTATTTATGGTAAATAAGTTCATTTCAGTCTTACTTGAACCAACAGCCTTATAAGATAGGAAGAACAGGTTACATTCCTAGTTTGGATCTGGAAATGGAGCACTGGTGATCTGATTGCTAAGTCCAGCGCTCTCTTCATTCTATTACTGCGGTGCCTGTAGCAATAATGCTATATATCCATCCCTCAGGTGCGCTTCCTAGTTGTAATTGACTCTTTTTTCCTTTGCTACCTCCATCTAGTCATTCCAAATCTGCTAGGATCTGTTTCCTCAGTACCTTTAAAATTCATTCCCTCTTTTATATACCCTTAATTTTAACCTAGTTCATGCCCATATTGGCTTCCTATCCAAACTCTTATTATTTGGTCTGTTCTCTGTATGTGGCCAGACTTATTTTCATTAAAGATAGTTCGACTTATGATTATTTTTCCTGTACAAAAGCCTTCATTGGCTTAATTCCTACAGACGAAAATACATAAGTAGTAATTAAAGGCCCTTCTAATTTTATTGTATCTCTTACTGTTCCTCTTTATATATGCACTCCAGAAAGCTGAACTATTGATGGTTTCCTGTGTGTGTCTTCTTTTCTCCACCTAGAAAGCATTGCAGTCTCTCTGTTCTCATACATTTAGTTCAGGCGTTGCCTCCTCAAGAAAACATGATTAACTTACTCTTCCTCTATTCCCAAGTCATTCAAGATTGACTCTTATGGAGCTTTTTCTGTACTTCATCACGCTCTACCTTGCATTGTCTTACCTCCCTTAGAATACAAGTGTAGCACCTCATCTGAAATTCAGTTACAGCAGCTGTATTTAGCTGTATGACTACCATATTTATTTATTCCATTGTCTCGATATTATGTTTCTGTTCTTATTTGATTAATCTTATAGTGACACATTACTTTCATGTTGGAATCTGCCTTCTGAATTAACATTATTACTGTATATTATTACTATTAGCACAATCTTTAGGGCATAAGTTTAAGGTCATGCCATTGTTAGGCAGATAACACTGCACACATTTTACCAAATTTAATTGTTCCCTAAAGTTCTCCTCCATTAAGATTCAAGTTTCTTGATTATAACTATGGGAAATGTAGGGATAGCTTTGATTATATGTGGGAAATTTCTGTGCCGGCTGACTCTTGATGTGAAAAGTGGATAAGAGAAAGTCCCTTTATCTGCTGCATGCCATCCTTTCTTCCAACTTCAGACTCATTGGTAATAAAAACCACAGCTACAATGGAAAAACATTTTCAGTGGCATCTATGGAAGCAAAAATAATTATATCTACAAAATAAAATTGTACAAATATAGAATTTCTTAAATTTAATGTTCTAAGTCACATTATAAACTTGATAACCAATTATTTATGTAGTTATTTTAGAAATTGTTTATCATTTACAATACCCAAGACATATTTCATTCTCAAGAGGGAAAAATGTATCCTCTCATGAAGATAAAAAGTTATTTAGATAATTCATAACCAAAGAATTTACTAAGTTTGCTAGAAATTCAGTCATGGAGTTTTCATAGTGCATATTCATGGTAACACTTCATTAAAAATGAAACTTTTACTAGCTGTAACATTCTAACAAGTGAATTTATTTAAGTTCCCATTATGTTATGTTCATGCAATAAATTTTAGGCAGTTTGAAGAGAACACATGAAGAAGATGATGATTTTGGAGGCATGCAAGTGGCGACTGCTCAGAATGGCTGACTCAACAGCAACATTATAGAGGAAGTGAATTTCTATTTGGGAAGGAGCAAATACTAGAGACAATAATAATGTAAAATGGTAAAAACACAAGTAGTTTCTTTTCAATGATATGTTGCTTCCAGACATGTTTCTCTACAATTTGTTGAGCAACATTTTAAGAAGATGTTGGACTTCTGCAGTAGATGGCACTGATGGTTTTAAGCCTATTCTTTTTTTTTTTTTTTTTTAACGTTACAGTTTTATTATAAACCAAGAATTTTGGACTTGCAGAGGTATTATTGCAATAATGCACTTTTCATACTTGAAATTTATTTGTATGATATAAAGTTATTACTTTAAAAAAATGCAAGTTAGGGGGATTTGTTTATATAATTTGGGTAATTTATAACAAGAATTTCCTAAAGTTTGCTAAAAATTCATTTTATGTTCTATATATTACATTTAAAAAATAATTTAACAGTTCAGTTTTATGATGGAGCCTCTTACAGAAACATTAACAAATGCAGGAATCTGCCACATTTCTTTTTTAGTATAATTAAGTAGTTAATTACCCTTTTTTAAAAACTTCTCTGATTCCTTATTACTACCTTTAAATCATGACATTAGCCAACTATTCTTACTTTAACATGATCCAAGTTTTGCTTCCTTTCCTGTTACTTTCCTAATTTTAGTCTACAGAAAAAAGTTCAATGAACAAAAGATGTTTTAATTATAAATACCAAATACTTAAAAACAAGGAGAGTTTTAGATTTTTAAGGGACTTTCCTTTTGCATTTCTTAAAAGCCAAATGCTGTTTGTTCTTTTTAGAGTTGCTTAGCCCATTTTTTTGTCCAAAATAGTTCTAAATAGAATATAATAAACCAGTATAGTGCTAATTTTTTTCTAAATGAAGCCCAAAAAAGAAAAGTGCCTTGCATCATTAAAAAATAACAATCCTCATGACCTTTAAATTAGTATGTAGAACAATGAAAAGTTTTTAAATATTTTCTGTAATTTTTTTAAACCATAAATTGATTTACACTGAAAGTCTGAGGCTTGAAGAAACCTCAGTACATTATTCGGAAATATTAACTCCTCCATTTTATGTTGTCTTAATGATTCTGTGAGGTTGTTCTGGCTCAGACAGAAGCTTTTCTTTTAAGATGCATTTATTGGGGAAAGTGGTTTGTGGGAGACTTTAGTGTATTTTAGTGTTTTAATCAGTTCTTTACATTGAGTTAATCCAAATTTCCCCCATAATTTGCAGTAGCAAGTTACTTCATGGATCCTAGTTTCTCCATATACATGTACATCTAAATTGTTCTAAGAAAAACATTCTTGCTATTTTAAGTATGATGTGAGGAAGTGAGGAATATTTTTAACTTTTTATAGTTGATGATTTAGGTTAGCACAAACAAAACTTCTTTCTATCTCACTTTTCTGTCCTCTCTTGAGGTGCTTTATTGATGGGAATGATTTCCATTCGTTCCCTCGGTACCAAGAGGTACTATGCAAGGTAACCTATTACACCAAGTTACTTGCTTGGCTTTCCTCCCTAAAATGTAATAATACAGTCAAAGCTTGTTTTATCCAGCATAGCAAGAGTAGAAATGAATTAAAATTGCTTTGTTAAAATAAGAGTTAATTTCTTGTTGATCCAGGTGGTATTCTTCTGATGTCCCTTGTCTTTCTGCTTTACCACCCTGAAAATAGCATATTGTTAATCCCATTGTGATCTCTATTCTGTTGTGATTAGGTCATTTGGTGTGGCCGTCTAATAGTCAAGATCTGGACCGAGTGTTCAGAAATTCCAGTTGGTAAAGTGCCAGATAACACAGCTTTCCTGTATATAGATCACTATTGGATAGGTCAGCAAAGATCTCTCTTGTAAACTAATAATCTGTGATGCTTCATTCAGCAGAAATTCTGCTTAAAAGAATCTTCATAAGAGTACGTTTAAGTTTTGAAAATGAGGCAGTTTTTTAAAATTAGTTTCTTAAATATGCATATCCTCTCTAGTAGTGTTGCCGAAAATAGATTTTATTATTTATAGCTGGTAATTTCCCACTTTTTCTAACCACTATAATTTTTATGTTTGTCACTAAAGTGCCTGCCCAGCACTGTACATTAAAGACTGTCTCCTTCTTAAAACACTAGGAAAAGGGACTGTCATCTTCTTGAGTACAATATTAATGTGGACAAACATGTTGTTTGTTCTTTCATATAAGAACATTGCAAGTTTTATCTTGTATCCATTCTTCCACCTAATGTTCAGCTAGTTCTTCTGGTAGCTCTTCTAATTCTTCTGTTTGGTTCCATTTCTGTAATTCCTTTCTTTCCGTTGATGTTTTGTGATAGTTAACTACAATTCATTTAACCAATCATGATTTATTTTCTAGAATATTTGAATAATGTATGAGTGACGTAGCACCCAATTTTAAACATTACGTAATCTGGGCACAGAATTTAAAGTAAAATTACATCAGAATATAAAACAACTGCTTTACTGTCCATTTTCAAAGTATGGAACTTAAATACTGAGAATATTCAAACTGAAATGGCAGTATTCTTACCTTCTAATTTTAGTTAATTGGTCGATTAATTTTTTTATCAGATGTTTAAACAGCAGTTACTTCTGTTTATTTGTATCTACTCTATGGTGGAAATGTTAAACCGTGATGACTTTTGCTACGAACTCTCAACCACTTACTTAACTTTTAGGGCATAATATATGTTTTGTGGTGGGAGGGGGGTGGGATTTGTGTATTCTTACCTTCTAATTTTAGTTAATTGGTCGATTAATTTTTTTATCAGATGTTTAAACAGCAGTTACTTCTGTTTATTTGTATCTACTCTATGGTGGAAATGTTAAACCGTGATGACTTTTGCTACGAACTCTCAACCACTTACTTAACTTTTAGGGCATAATATATGTTTTGTGGTGGGAGGGGGGTGGGATTTGTGCTTCGCCTGATTTTAGAAGTAATGTCAAAAAATGTTAAGCATGCCCTTTTAAAGAAAATATAAGGTTTCTAATTGTCTTATTACCATGGTAATTCAAGTGAATTAGAAGTATTTAACTGCAATCTTGAATTATAAAGTTGGGATGAATATATATATATATGTATATATAGAGATCTCAACTTGATGTAAAGTAAATGAGCAGTTACCTGGCGGATTTCTTTTAATAACTGGCTTAATCCACAATTCCATAACAAACTTAGCTTCACTTCAGTATTTACTTTCTTTGTCCATTCAACAATGCTCCAAAAAGGAAATGTTAGGAAACAGCTGAGAATTGCTAAAAGATTTTATTTTTTTTATTGGTTAGAAAAATGTGTTTTTAGGGTCTTTGAATGCTGGATTTTTTTTGTCTTACCCATTCATGGCAGCTAAAAAAAATCACTCAAAATATTCAGGTTTACATGTTAGCTCTCTTTCATAGGGAGTTGCCATACCTCACAGTTCAAAGTGTATTCTATAGATCAGTAACATTATACTGACATGTAATTGCAATTTACTATGCAGCAAAAACGATTCAAGAATAACCTACAGTGTCTACTTACCTTTGTATAGGCAATTGCTTAAGTTACTCTGCTTTTAACATTTGTACTTGGATAAAATGCTTATGTATGTATAGGAATGTCACAGTGCAAGATGCTGCTAGCTCAGACACAAAGTATTAAAATTATTTTGTCAAGATTGGTGGTTGTATTAAAACTATTGTGCCATTATACCTCAAAGAACTGAAAAACTCATTTATACTGATATGCCTCAGGACTTCTTAAATTGCTGGTTTCTAGGTAAGACTAACCTAGTTTTACTCCCACAGATTAAGAAGGATAAATGAACATTGGATGTTGATAAGCACTTGCGTATCTTCCAAAACATTGTGGTTACACACACACAAAATATGGTCACTAGTCTATGCAAGACCCAAATTTCAGCTCAAGTATATTTTTTAAGGTTTAGGTGATCAAGTTTAGAGTTGGAAGCGAGGGAATTCATGCCTGAATGGAAAGGGAAGGTAATCCATAGAAAAGTTTCCAGCCCATTTAGAAAAATACTTCCTGCTTTTACAATATCCTCTTCCCTGTTAGCCTACCTACATACTATTTTTCATCAAATCTAAGATGCCATCACCACACTATTATTTTAGATACCACTAAAAGGTAAAATATTGCTGAGTAAACTATTACAAGCCCTTGATCATAAAACATACATCTTAGAATCAGTGAAATACAAATATACAATATATGGGGCACAATAAAAAAAAAAATCACAACTGCCTTTTTCATTATACCTTTTCAAAAGCAAATTATACCCAAAATTGTGAATATAGTTAATGTAACGTGTTTTATGCAGCTTTTTTTGTACTCAAGTTTACTCACAGTGTGGCTTAGAAAACCATAAATATACTTTGGTTAACTAAAGCTAAATACAGATTGCCATTTTCCTCAGTGACACAATTTTTATATACTCTATCTTACCTGTAACTATTTCCTTTAGGGGGAATTTAAGACCTTAAGAACACCACTGAAACACCAACCTTGTAGACAGTTTTACTTCAAATTGTTCAGTGGTAAGAAATGCAATGAAGCATTTAACTTTACCTTTTATTAGGCTCATTTTTTAACATGAGTTTAATTAGAGTATACTTAATAAAGCTGTCATAACAAGGCTGTAGGATTTCAGAAAAGGTAAAACTAGCTTTGTTGCTTTCGCAAGAGACAGATCATTTGCATAGGTCATCAGCAGATGAACAGTCACCCTCTATTGGTAAAGGCTTTCTATGATTTTAGAAAGCCAACTTTAACTTACTGCATGGAGGGAAATATGAAATCCAGCTGAGGTAGGTGTGAGTAAAAGGGATGAAAAACAGGTAGTCTTTAGTTTCCAAGTTCATTTTACAAAGTACACAAAACTAATTATATCAACCATGACTTAATAGAGTTTAAGAGAAGACTCAAGAAAAACACAGACAACATCAGGATTCTAACAAAGGACTATCATATGAATAGTTTTAATGTAATACGGAATGCAAAAGATTAGAACCATTAATAAAGTAATTTCTACTTCAACTTAAAAAGAAATAAATAAAATCAAAACGGGATAGTGACCAGAATGCCATTATAATCACATTAAATAGAAAAGCTTCCATCAACATTTTTAAGAATATAACAAATTCAGTATGATACATTTTTAAGTATTCTACTCAATTTTGTAATCTATTTTTCATAAAAATGTTTCTCAGAAGAGAGGCTTCAGATGCCCATGAAAAGATGAGAAATCAGGTTACAAATACATAATATGCCAGGATTTGCTAATTCACTGTTAAAAGTACCTTGTATTTGCTCTTAGGTATTTTAAATGAATTTATATATCACATATAAGATGGGTGGTACTTCACTACATTAGAATTATATGAACTTGTATATTTAAATTTACTTTGAATCTTATCACATTTTATGTTAATTTTTATTTCTACTTTAAAAGGCTGACCAGGTTATTTGCCAGTACGGTATTAGGAACAACAATGTTGGGCTGTACATTTAGTTATGATATATCTAACATCGAATTTCAAGTAATATATGGGAAATGACACCTCTAACTGGTATTTAGATATGTTTCTCTGAAACAAATAATTTTATGAATGTGGTAAGAAACAGCCTTGTTTATTGTATGATTTTTAAAAATGAGCAGTACAGATAGCAAATACATAACTCCTTACTACCTATGCTCTGACTGCCAAGGAATGAAGCCAAACTTTAGAAAAATACAATGCAAGAAAAGATTCAAGTTAAAAATATATTCCTTTGGTTAAAAATCATCCTCTTCATAATATTTGTTATCTAAACTCACAGCATGTCCCACCAGCCCAAAGTAATCTTCTAAATGTCATATCTGTTGTATTACAATGTTTTTTCAATCCATTATAGAGGTCACTGGATTACAGCAAAATATTTTAACTGTAAAAAGGATATACAGTCTTGGTACATTAGCTCCTCTGACAAATGTCTTTCTTAAAAGATTTTTACTTTAGAAACCTCCGACACATGTAGTTTTCTTCAGATACTGTATATCCAAACTTTTTATAGAAACCAACATTTTGTGGTAGACATTCAAGGGTAATCTTATAACAGTTCAGTTTTTTGCTTAGCAAAGTAAGGGTTGATAATAACCTGAAATTAAAGGGGGGGAAAAGCATAGGTCATTTGTTAATAAAAATGGATTTTAGTAACAATATGAGTGAATATTGCATAAAATTTCAAGTTTACATTAGAAATAAGTTTAAGTCATGGCCTTTCCTACTGTATGTTCATTTTAATATTCAAATTGTACATAGATAATCATTTAAATCACGCAAAGCATTTTTTTTTCAAATATACTTGATAACCTTCAGCCTGTTAATAGGACAAATACTAAACCTAACGCTCTTTAAAAATAAGTTTTAAGATTATTGTTGACACTAAAGACTATCAACCTTTTAAAAATATAGTCCAGATTATTAAGTTTTTTTCTCATCAGTGTTGACTTAGGAACAGTCAACATTCCCACATAAAATAGAGAACAAAGCTATTGTTTACCTATCATTTTAAAACTACTTAAGTGTTTGTGAAAGTATCATATACAGCTTTACAAATCCTTAAAGAATCCAAGCCCAGTATAAGAATGATTTCTAACTGCCTTATGGGTAAAAATAAAAAAAACTAAAAAAGATCTACAGATATTTACCAGAAGTGTTTCCTCATGTTTACATAGACTGAAAAATCATATCAATTTGAAGACAGAACTTAAGAATTATAAAAAGTATGACTAAGTGGAATAGAGCAGTGGTCTCCAACCTTTTTGGCATCAGGAACTGGTGCTCCTATGAGAATCTAATGCCTGATGACCTGAGGTGGAGCTAAGGCAGTGATGCTAGCGCTGGGGAGTGGCTGCAAATACGGATGAAGTGTTTGCTTATTCAACCGTCGCTTCCTGCTGTGCATCTCAGTTCCTAATAGGTTCATGGCCTGGGGGTTGGGGACTCCTGGACTAGACTACTAGAAATTGCTCTGTTTTATTCACTGATGTATCTCAAATACCTCAAATAGTATCTGGCACATAGCAGGTACATATTTATTAAGTGATTTCCTTAAAACTCAGAAGAGATGTTAAGCAAGTTCCATCTTATAAAATAGGCACTAAACCCATGAAATTTACATTTATTTTTAAGGATTTAGGTAAATGTATAAAGGATTATACAGTGGAGGCTGCTTTAGTATATGTTTCTAAAACTTATGAGACTCAGAACATTTCCTTTGTTTTTAAACGTGACAGAGAAATGGGGAAATTGACTTGGCCAAAAGTTCATTTTCTACTAGTATGAGACTACTACTGTTAAAAGTAACTTAAAGATGTTACTGCCTGTAAAATAGCATACCTCCAATATTCAAACTGGCAAAACTAATAATAAAAGTACTTCATTACTTCATTAAATTCAGTCTAAGCTATAGAGTGAGAACAGGTTCACAATTAATGATGCCTAAAAAAGAACTTCAAACAGGAAAACATGTTCAAGTTATCTTGGCAAAAACTGTAAAGTGACAGAGCATCTAATTTATACACGGTTACCTTGTTTCTGCTTACTTACAGTTTGCCAAGCTGCTTTCCTCTGCATTCATCACTAACAACAACATCTTCTACTCTTCCTCTCTGAAAACATTTACAGTGTTTAAAGGACTAAGCATGTAGTTTTGTTCTTTAGCTAAATCAACAAGTTACGGTTGGTAAAAATTCATTGACAAAAATAAATGTTTTATAAATTTGAACTTAACAAAAACCAAATGCAAACACTTTTTAACCATTATTATAGAGGAAATAATATAATGAATCAACTTGTGTCCTAATCTTATTTGTCTATATCCTGAACCTCCCCAGCCCATTGTTTAAAGCAAATCTCAGAATCCCCATCACCTAAATATAATCTTGTCATGAATGTACTATATCTGTCATCCTGCTCCTTGCTTAACAGTTTATTTCAGACATTTAAATAGTTTATTAATTGCTAGAAACTCCACTAAAATTCGTAACTCATAGAAAACATTCCAAATTTTCCTATCTTATTGGATTACCTAGGCTTTCTTTACTATTTCATGCGTGTCATTAGGAGTAAAGGGGCTTTACAGGCATTAAAAATGTAACAATTAGAAAAAATATAGTATTCTGAACCCTTTACCACTTGGAAACTGATGGGAATTTGTGTTAGTATAATATATTCAAAGTACTGTTTAAAAAAAAAAAGCATTAGGGATTCTAAACATTACTGCCAAATTTCATGATGCTGACTTGGTTTCTCTATGACTATGCCAAATCTAATTCCTTCAGGAACAATTTTTAGCAAACATTTTATATTGTTAGTACATTTTCTTCCTCATAACTCAGAACACAATGGGAAGTTGTTCGTACTAAGGGACTTCTAAGAACTTTTTTCAGAGCAATATCGCTCTCATTTTACAATGAAAAGTAGTGAGAAAACAGATTTGTTTAATGGAAACTCAGTGTAGGTTTTGCTAGAAAACACTTGTCCATTTTAGCTCATAAGCATTAATGTGAGCATGTACCTTAGCACAGGAATGGATGAATTTATGTTCTATTATCAGAGTTGCTGTAGCAACAATCTGTCCTAAAGTCACATCTTCCACAACTGTAACATAATAATCCCCAGATTTCTTCATGTGCTCAAAAGATTCTGTGGAAATTGGAAAACAATGTTATGTGGTAGACATTAAACTATTAGGTGCCAGAAAAATACCAAGATTAGCCGCTTCATTATCAGATAGCTAAAGCTGTTTCACCATAGTAATTTATACTTTGTTTCTAAGAAAATATTAAAAATGACCAAGTAGTTGAAACACCAAATTAGAATATAGTCCACACATTAAAAAAATATGCTAGCAAAGTAAAAGACTAATAATAGCTATTTTAGATGAACAACACTTATAATACAAATAAACTATAGATGTTACCACTTTTTTGCCTAATCATTAGTTACTTTAAATCTATTTCTTCAACCTTTACACTAACAGATACTTGAGTAGAACAAAACTTTGCAAATTTTAACAGGAATGTTTGGCTTCATTCTCTGATTTTTAGTCTTTGGTTTCAAAATATTTTGACGAAAGTAGTTTTTCAGTTTTTCCCTTGTGATCTTAGGTGTTTCGTGATTACACGACTTTCTTTTTTAGAAACGAAATCACTGTTTTTGTTTCCTTTGAAAGCACCTTGTGAAGTAGGTGAAAAATATGTTTCCAAGTAATCTTCCCAAAATCACACAGCAAATAGGAGCAAAGAAAATAAGCACTTTACTTTCAGATTTGATTTTTAGTACTTTAATTACCGAAATAACATAGTCCTCATCTTATCTGGAATGCATGCAAAAAGCAATTCGGGAATAAAAACTAAGCGAAATAGTCTCACATATTGTTTATTTCCAGAGTCTCATTCTAGATAGGGGTGGTGCAGAGTAGAAAGAAGTAAATTCAATGAAGGAAAACAATGAGAATTAAAAAATGATGACCCTCATCTAAGGAGGGTAAGACAATACAAAACAAAACAAAATTCTTTTTGAAGGAAATGAAATTATAGAAAATAAGAAATGACTTAAAGCACTGGATAGAGTCAGGAAGGTTCTGGTTATTTCCTTACCAATAAACTACTTGTGATCTTTTGACTTTTTTTTTTTTTTTTTGGAGAGGCAACCCTTGGCTGACCTCACAGATTGCAAGGACCTTGTCAGTTTACAATCCCTTATTTTTTATGTCTATAGCACCTAGTCTTCGTAGGTGGTCTCCCATCCAAGTACTAACTAGGTCCAATCCTGCTTAGCTTCCAAGATCAGACCAGATTGGACTTGTTCAGGGTAGCATGGCCGTAGACTCTTTTGACCTCTCTTGACTTCCATTCTCATATGTATAAAAGAGGGAGTGGGGCTGAACTATAACCTCAAATACCTCTTACTCTTAAAATAAATATAAAGGAACAATAAAAATCAAACATTCTATTGTATTTTTGATCTGGTGATTAAATTTCTGTGAATAATCTAACCACATGAAAGGAAATAACTACAGTAAAAACAACTTCTACAGCTAACACAGCACAACCACTCCCAGGGCCTCAGCATAGGTAGCAGCTGACCTAGCTTTCACCAAGAGGCTCCAGAACCAATAGAACTGGTGGTCAGCTTCAGACCACACCAGAGCACCACCCAATTAGCAACATGAATGACACACTCAAAGGAGTGGACTTGGCAGGCACCAGAGCCCCACTAAAGTGAATCTCGCTCCATAGGGTCAGCCCCTGTATAAGAGAAATGTCTGCTGTGCTCACAGCCAGTCCTCACAGCCAGTCAGCCTAAGGGTAAATCCTTCTCACTCATGTGACAACAGTAATCAAGGCTCAACTACAACAGGAGGGCACACAAAGCCCCCATAAGGGAGGCCCAGGAAACACCTAGCTTACATGACCAGGGAGACTGCGCCACTGGGCCCCACAGAATACCTATTACATAAGGCCACTCTGCCAAGACAGGGAGATATAGCAGTTCTACCTAATACATAAAAACAAACACGGGAGGCAGACAAATGAGACAAAGAAACGTTCCAAATGAAAGAACAGGACAAAACCAGAAAAAGAACTAAACAAATTGGAGGCAAGCAGTCTACCAGATGCAGAGTTTAAAACACTGGTTATAAGGAAGCTTAGTGAACTTAGGGGAAGAACAGATGATCTCAGTGAGATCTTCAACAAAGAGACAGGCAACAACAAAAAAAGAGATAAACCCATCAGAAGTAAAGAATAGCTGAAATGAAGAATACACAAAATGGCATCAACAGCAGATCAGATGAAGCAGAGGATCAAATATGCAATTTGGAAGACGAGGTAGCAGAAAACACTCAATCGAAACAAGAATTTTAAAAAAAGGATAGCTTAAGGGACCTCTGGGACAACATCAAGCGTAACAACATTCACATCACAGGGGTACCAGAAGGAGGTAAGAGAGCAAGCAAGGGATTGAAAACTTATTTGAAGAAATTATGACTGAAAACTTCCCTATCCTGGCAAAGTGCAGTCCCAAATAAGAGGAACCCAGAGGCCCACACCAAGACACATAATTAAAATGCCAAAAGTTAAAGACAAAAATAGTTTTAAAACAGTCCCATACAAGGGAGCTCCCACAAGGCTGTCAGCTGATTTCTCAACAGAAACTGCAGGCCAGAAAGTACTGGCACAAAATATTCAAGGTGATGAAAAGCAAGGACCTACTACCAAGATTACCTACCCATCAAGGCTATCATTTACAATCAAAGGAGAGAGAAAGAGTTTCCAGACAAGAAAAAGCTGAAGGAGTTCATCACCACCAAACCACCATTTACAAGAAATGTTAAAGGGACTTAAAGGAAAAAAAGCAAAAACATGAATAAAATGGTAATAACTACATACCTAACAATAATTGCTTTAAATGTAAGTAGATTAAATGCTCCAATCAAAAGACAGGGTGGCTGAATGGATAATAAAACAAGACCCAAGTGTCCATCAATAGATGATCGGATAAAGATGTGGAATATTACTTGGCCGTAAAAAGAATGAAATTTTACCATTTGTGACAACATGGATGGACCTAGAGGGTATTATGCTAAATAAAATAAATCAGACAGAGAAAGACAAATACCACATGATTTCACTTATATGTGGAATCTAAAAAAACACAAGCAAACCAATAGATACAGAGAACAAACTGATGGTTGCCAGAAGGAAGTTTGGGAGATTGCATGAAAAAGGTGAACAGATTTAGAAGTACAAATCAACAGTTACAAACTATAGGGATGTAAAGGACAGCTTAGAGAACATAGTCAATAATACTGTAATAACAATACATGGTGTCAGATGCAACACTTATCGAGGGATCACGTAAGTTATATAATGTCTAGCACGACTGAAACTAATATAATATTGATGTCAGTTATAACAAAAAAATGTTTTAAAGATACAAAAATAGCTAATTTGTTATTTGAATAATATCTAGCTATTTGAATAAAAATCACATAGTATACACTAAACAGACCTCTAAAGAAAAATAAAATCTTGTTTCCCTTTCTTTCATTCAGAAAAAAGAAGCTGTAGTACTTACTCATAAATTGTTCAGGGCTGACAACTCCAGTTTCTGTCAGTTGACCTAGTACCTTAAAAAAACCTAGTTTGCAAAAACAGATTTCAAGTCATACGAGCAGATGAAAGATATATCAAATAGGGCAATGTGTAAAATAAGGGGAATTTTTTTTCAAAACTTTAATGAATCATTTCAAAATTATTATTTCAAAAGGTTAAATTGAAACCCATTATTCTTTCTATAATCACTATATAAAACAAAGAATAATTTTTACCAATGTTTTTGCCTGCATAAGATTTTTGGAATATTGTTAATCTTAATATTCAATATTTATAGAACCAGCATGTACATTTTCATGTAATTTGCATTAAATTCAATGCAAGGGATGCCTAATTTTCCCAAATATGTGCTTTGGTTTTACTTAAAAGTGCAAGATTTTCAATGACCAAATATGATACTATACAAAATATAATTGTTGAGACTGCAATTTTTAAAGATGCCTGATTAACTTCATGTTATCTTAAATTAATGTGAACAGTACATTTTAGAACTTTGACAATCTTAATTTCTACAAACTCACTAACTTGACCGAAAGTGGTTTCTTCAGGTTTCCTACCAAAAAGAAAACTGTAAAAAGTTAATTTTTGATTACCAACATTTAAGGAAATCTTTTTGGAGAACTTAGCTGTTAAAACAAAAGGAACATGTAGACAAAACCTTTTGTAACTTATCCCAGGCAGATTATCTCCACTCTCATTCCCTATCCAGGTTCTTAGAGAAGATTCTTCCTTAGGTTTCATTATACATGGTAATTTCACCTTTGTGAGAAGTCTTTTGGCCTCTTATAGGAAAGAATGGTACTGTACTTAAGTTATTTGAAATATTTTACAGTAATAGCTGATCTTGGCCCTGATACATACACACTGAAATTGAGGGTCTTAGTCACGTTAAAAATTAAATACAAAAAATAATCCAAAGTCAAGTATTATTTTTTTAAATTATCACCATCATCATCATATTTGTGGAGAAAATAGAATGCTAATTATAGTTCTAACCAGGATTTGTAAACTATGTGAGTCCATACCTCTATTTAAATCAGCAGTACAAAGAGGCCTCAAAACCAAACCTTCTCCAGGATGAGTTGGGGAAATGGCTGGAGAAAATGTAGCTGTATTCTGGCTCCAGTCCACTTCTTTGAGGAGACTTGGGTCAAACATAGGAGTTTCATCAGGTTTCATTTTTACAGTAAGGTCTAAAATAAAATTTTAAATGTTAAGGCATTTTATTTAATACAAGTTATTAGATTGGCAAGAAAGTAAATTTCTTAATAAAAAGTAATGCAATTAGAAAAATTCTTTAACAGATATACAAGATATTTTAATTTAGTTATCCTGAATCTTTAAATGTCATAACTACAGATACACAGAAAACATATGACTACTATCAAAGAGTAAACAAATGAGTAAATTTAAAAGTTTTAAAAAGGTCTTTTTGAACATTTTTGCCTATGGTAATGCTGTGAATAGCTGAGTTTTCACAGGCTACATTTTTTATTTTTTTTACATTATTAGATTTTTTTATTGAGCTAGAAAACCATTTGTTGGTCTAATTTGCCATTAAGGAAGACTTATTGGGCATGTAACTTTTTAATATATATATTGAACCATGAAGAGAAGGTAACTGATGAACTGGCTTAAATTAATGATTCTCTGCATTCATTGTAATATTTGGTTTCAGCTATAATACATTCTCACTAAGTATCTACTGGATTTGTTTTCACAAGACTTTCTAAAAATCTATAAGTTTCTCAGCTGCATTTAAGCAGCTTAAGAATAGCCAGTGTTTTTCATGCTATTGAAAAATTATCAATATGGTACTGTTCTCTTTTTTGAACATTCAGAAGTCAGCAGGTTCTAAGTGTAGTCTAATAAAACTGAGACTAAATAATGGATACAAAGATAGAAGGGATGAAAAATATATAAAGCATAAAAATGGAAGGGAGGCACTTCAGTGAAGCACAGAATTGCTGGAAGAGTCTTCCTAGTAATTACTAGAAGACTGAAGCAAACCCCAAGTTTCATTTCTATCCTTATGTTCAGTTAAAAAAACTATTCTATTTGATACCTGCCTTCTTCTTTGAAACAAAGAATTCAAAGATATACATCCATAACATACTACCATAAAACAAAGAATAGAGGAAAAATTAAAGTCCATTTAATGAGATGGAACGATGTCCCTAATCAACTTGCAGATGTTCCCAATTTCATGTCACAATACATTTAAGGGCAACTCTCCTTAACATTTTCACAACGATTGATTAAACTTCTGCCTGTATAACCAGATGTAACTATACAGCTAATGCTGCAGTGTAACACAGGCTTGGAGAAGATAGTGTGGCATAATAAGTTAACATTATTCAGCACTTATTACGTGCCAGTTAGCATTGTTCAAAGAACTTTACACACATTGCAAGTGCTCAAAAAGATACCCTTTAGTTAGCAAATAATTTAAAATTCATGTTTATAAATTCTTGTTAAGTTTTTTCACCTTAATGTCAGGCACTGTGCTGGGTATAAGGGCTACAAAACAAATGACAGGTTGTCTGTTATGTTTATGTTAAACTCAAAGTTAACATTCTTGGATAAGAAAAAATTTTAAATCATAGTTTATTATGTAGAATATTGAGGGCTTTTTTCTTCTTTTTTCCCCTTCAAAAAGGATTCAGATCATGTTATACTCTAAACACTATACCTGGCTCTAAAAACAGTAAAGGAAAGAAATAAATTTTGATGATTAAAACATTCATATCAAATTGAACAAGCTTCTAGTCCATTTGAAACAGATTTTTTATAGGTTAATTTTAATGCGTACATTTTACTGTTTGTCCCTGATAATTGGGCTCCTGAGGCTTTTGTATGTACTCTCATCTGAAAGATGGGTAACAACTTTTTTTTTTCAGGTATGCAGATAAACTGGCTAAATATTTATCAATAAAGTAAAATGTGTACCTTAAATGCAGAAGCCAGAAAGTATTAAGGCTTTAAGCTCCTCAAGGAAGCACACTAAATATTTTGATGTTCATGCTATTTAACCTACAGTTTTAACCATGAAGTTTAAAGAAAGCTCAGAAGGGAATTTAGATGAACATTAAGACAATTTCAAGTTAACTAGATTCCTTTTTCCTATAAAGTTTATTTTTGAACTTTATAGGTTCAAAAATAAAATGTAGCCTGGAAAACATGCAAAGTAGGGTTAATAATTTCCGAGGGGGGGGGGAGAGGTACAGCAAAGAATTAGGATTATGAAGGCTTTAACTAATGAATTTTAAACAGTAAATACTAATATTTTCCTGTGTATTTCTTCAACCAGATGGTCCTATTTCATGAATGATCATAAAAGTAAATTATATTGGCTAACATTTATTGAGCACTCTATATTTGTAAACTTAAAAGTACAACAAAGGACTTATTATCCCCATTTTACAAACCATGAAGCAGGCAGAGCAACTTGGTCAAGGTAACAGAGCCAATAAGGAAGAAAGTTAGGATTCAAAAACAGGCAACAGGGCCAGCCAGCTTCATGGGCACTCGACCTGTGTGGCTGCATAGGGCCTCACACTTAGTTTAATTCTCTGCTGTCCTGTCTTGAAATTCTTAATAATATTTTTAACAAGAGCCCTGCATTTTATCTTGCACAGTTACCCAAATTATGTAGCCATTCCTGCATGACTCCAGATTGTACTTTTACTGAAAATGCACTAGTGAAAATGAATTCCCTACTTTATTGTGTAAGAGTTAAAGATGTAGTCAAAAGCAGCTCTTATAACCTATATTTGGAAAATAAGAATTTCCAGCTAGTCAAAATATATTAAACAAAGCCCTCTGGATAGAAATAAGAGTCCATTAACCAGGCATTCAGAAATTAATATCGAATGTTTAAGAACTATTTTATAAAAACAGAGCCAGACTTAAGGTTATCTTCCTTTATCTTACGCTGTCTCCATACAGTAAAATTCTCCCGATGTCCAATTAGTATGCTGGACAAGCTAAAGTAAGCTGTGATTTAATACCAAATTTCAAGATTTTAGAAGAGAACAAATAGGTAATTTATTTGATTTACAAAAGAAATAATATTTTAGCATCTTAAGGTGCCCCCAGGTACTACAAAACTAGGAAATTTCAGCAAACATACTTATACAGTTGTTTGAATCTCATCATCACTGAGGTCTTATTTCAAATATTTTAGATTAATTTACAAAAATAACTCTAACTCTCCTTACATACTTCTCAAGAACCTTTCCTATTTAACTGCTAAATTAGCATGAATTTATAAGGCCTATATATGCTTAACCTTACCCCAATAAATAAATGCCTAGTGAATGAATAACCAATGGTACATGTTTTATCTGGAGGTCACATTTCAAAAAATCCAGAAGAAAAATAATTTGCAAACTGCCACAAGTAATATCACAAAAATCATATGCTAAATTCATTTTTACTAGGTTCAGGTTTTCATTCAGTTGACTAGTCTTTGGACACAATTCCAACAATTTGGTTTCCCAACCTCTACAGCAGACTAGACTACAAATGGGGAGGAACTGAGGCTAAGAAGCAAGTGACTGAGAGCATCAAGTTAATAGACACTGGGAATGAAGATTTTTAAAGCTGATATGAAAAACTTAAAAACAATATAAAGCCAAATCTAAACTCATGTATTTCAAGAGCTCCTGGGGCATCACTACATTACTTCAGTACATGGTGAATGGGGGGCAAGGGAGAAGAGCTCTTCGGGACCAGGGTTCGAGTACATACATTTTATGATAATTTCGATAATAATTTGACTAAAGGTTTTAAAGAACACTCCAATCGCTGATGCTTTCAGTAGGCCTGGTCATATTAATAAATTGTGCAATTACACTTTACTTGAGAATTTTAAAAAGTATTTTCTGGTAGTTTATTTGATCTTTATAATCTAAGCATTATTCTCAGTCTATGGACCAAGAAGCCTACAGCAGGTAGCGCTTTCGGGAACTGACTCCAAGGTAACACACAAATGAGTGAATTGGATTAGATTCCTCCTATCTTGTTTTCTCATTTTGAACTGCACAATACCATATTCGATCGACACCAATCTTTACATCATCATATCAGACAGGTAACTCTGTCTCTCCCGTGCTGAAAAAAAATGTCAGCGAATCCTGCCTACAAAGAACTGATCTAAATTAATTCTTGAGATCCATGCCTGGTTTCGTTCATGAGTGGATATCTTAACAAAACTAATCCCATAATCGTCTGTTTCATTTTGCATGAAATTGAGTTCTGTTTACAAGAACGTCAGCTCCTATAAAAGAAATCACAGTACTCTTGTTTTCTAGGGGTTGAAGCCCCGGGTAAAGACAAAGGAAGTCCCTCCTCGCAGGGAAAGCCCCGATCTAGTAGTGCAAGAGGTGATCTTCGGAGCAGGAGCATGTCCTCAGGTGGCTCACGATCGCCGTGGGGTGCGCCTCGGAAAAGAACCGGGAAAAGGCCCGGGGCGTTCGTGCCCATTCAAAACCGATGGTGGCAGAGACTGTGAGCAACTGTCTCGGTCTCCACGCCAAAGCCTGGTGAGCGAAAAGTTACTTTCGACCTCTGTCCCTGCTCATGCTCTGCCAGGGACACCCCTGCATGGCTGGACTACTGGCCATACCCTAACCTCTGCTCCAGGCGCGTGTCCGCTTAACTTGCTCAGAACCGCGCTCCACAACCTCGTATGCTCCCAGCTGGCAAGGATAAATGCCCGGTTCCCCGAAAGTCACCCGCCTGCCCTCCTACCCAGGGCCTAACTCGCCTCCCCCGGGGGCAGCAGTCGCACCTGTTTGACAAATCTGAAGGCAGGCCCGGGCCCCAGGACCCCCAGCTCGACCCCACTCCCGTCCCCCCCGCCCCCAGCCCCCTCACCCGCAGCCCCGCACTC